CCCGCAACATACGGAATAACCACTGGTTTGGGTCTGGGTTTGGGGTCTTCATTTTCACCTGAAGGTTGCATGGAATCCTGTCATTTTAAAAATAAAATGAAAACAGAAAAATGAATCATCTCAAAATGGACTCAAATATGACAATTTAAAAAACTAAAATCATCCACCAAAGTAGTGTGATGCCAAATTTTTTGTGAACAACCACTGCTTAGGTTTAAAGAATAATATTTAGGAGACATTGTTTCCATCATGGAGACTGTATAAAGTAAAAATGCATAAAGAAAAATGAGCTTTAGGCCTTAAACCTCTTCCAGCATCATGGGACTTTGACTCTGAAAGTGTCTCAGTCTGGCTGAGACGGAGGATGAGGACGAGGAAGAATCCCAGTTTTTGTGGTTGGGGGTCAAACAGGGGACAAGAGGTGGAGCTTGCATCTGTTCCAGACTGGAGTCCTGCCAACATCCCTCTGATAGCATCAACACCAGGCTGAGTAAACCAGTACAAATCACTCTGACAGAATAAAGAGCAGAGGATGAAGCTCGGTTTGTTTTTGTGGCGCAACAACAACAAAGTGTCTGAAGAGCTGAAGGAGGAAACAGCCAGTCTGGTTTTGGGAACASTTTTACTCAGTTCAAAGCTTTAAACGTTCAAATTTGAATGTTGTATAAAGAAAACACRGCAGTTAGAAAAAACAAACATGAAAAGAGAATTTACTGACTTTTTTTTCACTGCTGTAATAAACTTTAACCCCTCAGTCTGAGCTTTTAGTTTTTGTAAAACCATTTAAATAGTTTTGTTTGCACACAGTCTCAAAGTGATTTTAAATTCTAGCCTCGTAAATGAAGTTTAAAACCATGAAATGTATTGCTTAAARAACTTACAGCGACTGAACACTGGTTTTATATTCCAATGTTTTACAAATCAAATCAGGAGTTTTTATCCAAAACACAAGGATTAATCAGAGTAAAGATCCAAAATAAAACAATAATAAAAGCCAAACACAAAACTCAGTTTTTTTCTTTAATTTACTTTTTTTATTTGTTGAAGCTCTCCTTGAATGAGGAAAGACCACAATCAATAACAACTCAAAGACAAAAAATAAAAAAATAAAGACACCTTTAAAAAAATACATGTCCATCAATCTAAATCAGATTAACACTTTAATTGCTGCGTCAGGTTTCATTTCTGTTGCCTAATGTTAGAAAGGCACTTAGATAAATCAAACTGAATCTTTCAGTAAGTTCTGCTGTGATGAAGCCAGAGATATGAAATGAAAAAAAGTTGGAGTTTGGAGCCAAAATTATTAAAAGGAAATCTTTGTGTTTGAAAAATCCAGTAATTTCTATGGTAAGTCTGTGAAAATCCATCATCATCAGTGGAAAACTACAGAGCTGGTCAGATTTTGGGTGTTAAAAAAAAAAGTTCAGGTCCTGCAGCCTCTGTTTGGTGTCCGTTCAGTCACTTCAGATCATTACAGTCTAAACATTTGAACACTTAACATCTTAATTTCTCAATGAGGTCATGAGATGCAGCTAAAAGCTTTAAAAAATCTAACTGCTGTTTAAAAAGGTCAGAAATAAACAAAATAACTGGTTTAAAAAATGTGATTTTTAAACTCTCAGCACAGTCAAGACGAACAAAATTAGATATTATTTCACTGTCATTTGCACCATAATACACGTAAAAAAAATCCCATGAAACAAAATGAATATAAACAAATGAAAACAGGATAAACTATAAAAGACTGAATCAGAAATAAACAAGCAGGAAAAAAAGTAATTTCAGCTGATTTGTTGAGACTAATTTAGATGTTCTGATGATTAAACAGTAAATTGTTTAGGATCAGCCTGTACATGTGTGAAAAAGATGTGACATTAAAGTAAACATATGAGATTTGTAAATGTTTGTCCAGTGGTTGTTTTCAGAACTTTAACAGAAGATGAGAATCTGAAGAGTCCAGGCGTGAGAACATGGGCAGAAATGTAAAAAAAATACTAAAAACACAACAGAAAACTGACAACAGAACATGAAACTAAACATAAAGCTTCACAGATTAGATTATAGTGTTTTTACTGTCAGATTAAAGCAAGAAGTGAATCATAAAAAACCCATCAGTTTCCCTGAATTTAAAGTTAAAGTGCCCCA